AAGCAGTTTCAGTCAATGTCCAATCATCAGGCAGACTTCAAATTATTTTTTAGAATAGGAAAAAGTCTTACCTTGAATGATTGAGACAAATGCCTGAATGCTATCCTGTTCCTCGTGACGCCAAATGTAGACTTGGAATTAAAGCCTCTTGTGTTTCCCCGTTATTATTCAATTTACGGGACCGGACACCAGTTATCTTGCCAAGAAAGTTTTATTATATATTATATATATGTCAGGAGAGAAACTTCAAGATGTTGTGTTCATGCCTGGTCTATGCGTTTCTCCATGTTCCTCTACCCTCTCACCCGGTCATGCCTACATGTTTCTCTAAGGGTGGTACAATGTGACATTTAGTTTTTATACATCACACAGTCTTACAGCTTCCTTGTAAGGTAACAAACATGTTGCTCTGAGCTTCTCAACTTAGAATGTAAATGTCATACGTGCGCTACTTTCCTTGTTGTGTACATCTGTGGTACACTTGCATCAGTGGAAACATTTATGCTGAGTGAACATGTTACATGGCACACATACCTCTCTGAGCAATATATAGCTTTCCCCTGACATATGTTCATCTCATGCTTTTAACTCATGCTTTTTGAAACTCCAAAAGGATAATACAGTGATCATGAAAACTAATAAAGAATAATAATACAGATACATAATATTTAATAATGAAATAATATTAAAAGATGAAATTTTAGTCTTCAATGGTTGTAAGTGCTTGAAAATATTTTAACCTTAAATTATTTAATATAACTTTTAGACTAAAATGGACTTTAGTTGCAATTAATGTCCCATTGTCCCTGTGAGCTGAAAGTTGCATCCGACTTAACTTCCGTGTTGTGATGTATTATTTATTCCATGTGAAACAGAATATTATAATAATAATAATAATAATAAAACTTTATTTTATATAGTGCCTTTAAAAGTAGTATCTCAAAGCACTTTACATAAAAAATAATGGAATTAGACAGACACAACAGTCTAGGCAATAAGAACTAAACAAGCAATAAAATAAAAGGCAAATAAAATAACAATCACAGTGATCACACAATCACATAAAAGCCACCCTAAAAAAGTACGTTTTAAGGGAGGATTTAAAAACTCTAAGTGATTCTGCATTTCTAATCTCAGAGGGCAGGGAATTCCACAATTTTGGAGCTAAAGAAGAAAAAGCCCGATGACCCATAGTTTTTAGCCGTGTTGTTTGGACAGTTAAAAGACCAGCTTCAGAAGATCGCAAAGCACGTGTAGGAGTGTAGGGGGTTAAGAGCTCACGCAAATATTGAGGGGCCAAGTTATTCAGGGCCTTATAAGTGAGCATGAGAATTTTAAAATCAATACGAAAACTGACTGGAAGCCAGTGCAATTTTTCCAGGATTGGTGTAATGTGTTCCCTTGCACTGGTCCCAGTCAGAATTCTAGCAGTCGAATTTTGAACCAACTGTAATTTACTTAGGGTAGCTTTAGAAACCCCAGTCAGCAAAGCATTACAATAATCAATTCTTGAAAAAACAAAAGTATTGATTAACTTTTCAGCCACAGAGAATGTCAACAAAGAACGTAATTTGGCAATGTTTCTGAGATGAAAAAATGATGTTTTGACTGTGTTACGAACATGATGGTCAAATGTTAAATTGGCGTCAAATATCACCCCCAGATTTTTTAGTTTAGTTTGCAATTTCAAAGCTGAGCCATCCACACTTAAAGTTATGGACTCTGCTTTACGCAACTGATGAGGTGAACCAATAAGCATCACTTCAGTCTTATCACTGTTCAGACAGAGAAAGTTTTCAGACATCCATTTCCTAATCTCAGTAAAACACTGAGAAATATAAGACACAGGCATATTGACATCAGGTTTTGAATGTAAATAGATCTGAGTGTCATCGGCATAAAAGTGAAAATTAAGACCAAGTGTTCTTAAAAGTTGCCCAAATGGAAAAATGTAAATACTAAAAAGTAACGGGCCCAAAACTGATCCCTGGGGAACACCAGAGCGCACCACACCGACCTCAGACTTGCAATCACCCATCACAACAAACTGCTTGCGATCAGAGAGATAGGACTTAAACCAATTTAATGCAGAATCAGAAACTCCAAAGATGGTCTCTAAGCGATTGATTAAAATCGAGTGATCTATAGTGTCAAAAGCGGCACTAAGATCAAGAAGAATCAGTATAGATAGACGGCCAGAATCAGATGCCATTAACAAATCATTAGTCACTTTGACCAGTGCTGTCTCAGTGCTGTGCAGTTTCCGAAATCCAGACTGAAGTGGCTCAAAAAGATCATTAGCAGAAAGATGAGACAGTAGTTGAGAAGCCACTGTTTGTTCTAAAATTTTGGCGAGATAGAGGGCAGGGTTTTAATTTAGCACACATGCTCTCATCCCTCATTGAAGACATTGAAGAGGAGTTGTTAAGGATATTCAATCCAAGCCGTCAAACTGACTGTTACGACCCGGCTCAAAGTCATAACATAAAGAGGACAGAACACAAACTGTGTTTCAAAATAAATGGTAAATGAACTGCATTTATATAGCGCTTTCATAGACCTAATGGCCACCAAAGCGCTTTACATTTGCCTCACATTCACCCATTCATACACTCATTCATACACCGACGGCGGTGTCAGGCGCCAGCCTGCTCGTCGGGAGCAGCTGGGGTTAGGTGTCTTGCTCATGGACACCTCGACACTTGGTCAGGTGGAACCGAGGATTGAACCACCAACCTAAATAGAAAATATAATTTTATTTAAAGTTAAACAAGTAGTGTCTAGGGTCAAAATATAAGATAATAATAATAAATATCAACACATCAAATCAATAAACGGTTGGAAATGAGGTTTGTGGAGTGGTGGAAATCAAATGAGAACACAAACTCAAGAACCCACTCTTCAAACAAAGTTACAAAACAAAAATGAGAGAGACTGGGGAAAATCCAGAAGCTCCTTAAATAGATTGCCACAGGTGCAGCTGATCTTCATTGGGCAAGCACACCCTCCAGGGCGGAGTCAGTCCTAGGATTATTAAGAAAAACAGGGGTAGGGATATAACACTGACGTCATCAGAGAAGGAACGCCAATCCAGAGCGTAAGCAAATTCTCAGATTTTGATTAAAGATTACCGCGACAAATATATTTTTTCTGTCTATTAACTTGCATGGATAAATTGTTCACCAGAAGACTAGTAATGTGTGCTAACAAAGTAAATAGGGTCAATTTTAATTTCATGACAACTTGTCGACTACAATTTGTCTAATTCTGATGTTCTTTAATGTGATGCTCTGCTTTCTATAGGTAACCATTAATGATGTCTAAAATTGGATAGATCAACATGTGTAAAGCTACTAAAGCCTAAAAATAACCATATCAAATTATTTAGGGAAAACTTATCCAACCATGCACGAGACTGATCAGACATTCAAGAAATGCATTGGTACTCAAAATGGCGATGCACTAGACATGGTGCCTGTCATTTTTAATTGTTTATCCAGAAAACTAACATATCTAGCAAGAAATTGTCCTAGCAATCACCTTATCTAAAGTTTTCATTGCCATACGTGCAGCACTTAAATCATTGTCAAGGACACAACAGAGATAATTTAGCACTAGTTCTGTTTGATATTACTCAGTCCCCCTTCATTGATAGACTTGTTAGGAACCTTGTTCAAGGGATAGTTCACTTTGAAATTAATTTTTGATATGTTTTAGCTTACCTCAAGGGCATCCAAGATGTAGGCTTTGTCTTTGTTTCCACAGTATTTTCAATTTTGATATTTTTAGGTCAAACCGTTGTCTTGTCTGTCAGTCATATAATGGAGGTCTATGGGGTCCACCTCAAAGAGCATGCACAGAGAAGTCCAAATTTAACATGATCTAATGACTCGTAAATGTAAGTACACATTGATGTCCTAAGACACGAAACGAGCGGTTTGTGTGAGAAAACGAACAGTATTTATATCGTTTTTACCCTTTTGTATTCACAGTCACGTCCAAGTACTCTAAGGGCGAAGGCGCCCCGGAAGTGATTTCTCGCGCGTGTACGTCGGTCATTGTTTACACAGAGATTTCAGAAGTGTTATCCTTCACTGTGAAGATCTAAACATATTTAGATATCCAGGAAATCGCAATGGAAGACGATTTCGATATATCAACATTGTTTTTTTTTTTTTGTTTGTTTTTTCGCAACTGCGCAAGAGATCACTTCCGGCGCTTACGCAGACAGAAGCGCCCGTGCCTTCAGATCACTTGGACGTGGCTGTGGTTACAAGAGGTAAAACTATATAAATACTGTTCGTTTCTCACAAAAACTGCTCAATTCGTGTCTTAGGCCATCAATGTGTACTTACATTTACGAGTCATTAAATCATGTTTAATTTGGACTTCTCTGTGCATGCTCTTTGAGGTGGACCCTATAAACCTCCATTATATGACTGACAGACAAGAACGGTTTGACCTAAAAATATCAAAATTGAAAATACTGTGGAAACAAATACACCTACATCTACATGGATGCCCTTGAGGTAAGCTAAAACATATCAAAAATTAATTTCAAAGTGAACTATCCCTTTCAGTTTACTTTTAAACCCAAATCATATGGATTTTGTTTTACCTAAATGCATTTATTTATTATCACTTTTTGCCAACATCCTTGTTTAAAACCTGTAAAGCAGAGTCAGCATATAAAAACAAATTACAATCACAAACTGCTCCCATGTCATTTATGTATAGGATGTATATTTTCTACCCTTTGAATTCTCCCAGTTAAATAAGAGTTCAACCAGGCAATCACCATTCTTGGAAAAATCCATGACACTTATCTAACGGTATTGAAGATTCACTGTCCAATCCAAGAGTAACATTTTACACATTTTATCTCCATCAGTCTAGACTGCATTGTTTTGTTTTTTTACTTTTGTAAGTTTACAGATGTAATTTTCACACTATCCCTCTCTTAGTGTAACATGTGAAGGATGTTTGTGGTTCTCTTTCAGGAAGTTGATGCTGCAGCGCTGCTGCGTCTCTATCTGAACTATGATCATCTGGAGTGTGCAGCGGAGCTTGTACTGGAGTATGTGGACGCTTTGCTTGGAAAAGGACATCAGTATTTTGGAGTAGAGGTATGGAGTCCTCCATACTATTACAACTACAGTGTTTCCGCTACATTCATTCTCCCGTGGCGGGCCGCCACACTTAAAATCCTCCCGCCACGGCTGCAGCTTTTCAGTGACGTCTGACATTCTGCATATTGTGTTATTTTGTTAAGCCCCACTAAAGGCACAAAAAACTTTGTAAAGCACAATCAAGTTTTCACACTATCTTCCAAGACTTCTAAAGTCATTCAATAGCATAATGTGTGGCAAAATTAATATTTTAGTCTCTAAGTTAAAGTTAACGGAAAGTCATCTCGCCTCAGTCATTCTCCATGCATCAGCATTCGCGCGCGTCGCGTTCGGTTGCGACAGTAACACGACGACACTCTCTTCAAGATCAATGTTCCCGATATTATACTTTATTTTGTAGATAAAGCATAAAGGTCTGTGATTTGCATAAAATGACTATCTTGCTGGAGTGGAGTTTATTGCCCTTTAGAATACACTAAGCATTAGTGCTGCACGATTAATCATATCACAGTCCTAATAGCGATCTCAAACCTATGCAATTATATAACGCAAAATGCCGCGATTTTATATGAAAAAATCTCTTCTTTTTTGTCATCCTTTGACTAGTGTTACAAGATCCCCCTCTTGTGCAAATGCATTTTCGCATTTTGCACGACAAGAAGTGAAAAGCTGCCTGTGAGTGCCCTAGATTAGAATAGATGAGACTCGCATAATGCGCATGCACTGACCGCGTGCCAGAATAAACAGTTCTCGTTCGAGCTTGAACGAACAATAGCACACACAATTATGCCAAAATGTCGTTTTGTCTAGTATCTTCATAACATAAGAAAAGTCTGTGGAGCAAAAGAGTTGTGCTATGAGGCGCGTGTGAGATGCGCGTCTCGGCAACGGGTTCTCTTAAAGGGCCAGCAGCGAATAAAGCGTTCTGTCAGTAAAGTTAAAAGAACATTAGGGAAATTAGAAAATTACTCACTGATCTTGACTAAAGAACTTTTGTAGCTTTAATAAGGATTATTCTATATATAATTTATGATTCATGCAGCGCAGACTGTTTGATAACTTTATTCAATTTCTGTACCTGTTAAGACAGGAAGGGCACATGTAAATATGTTTTTTTATTATGGGTTTATGTGGGGATTGTTTGAAGTTCACTTAATTTAAAAGCTGTTATATATTTTTTTTAAGCCTAATAATTTTTTAAAAAGTTGATAGCTTTCAATTGTAATGATGGAATCACTGTAATGTTGGTTTGGTTGATGGTTTATTGATCATTATAGGTGTTATCAATCATTTATTGTTGTTGTTGTTTTTAGTTTGAGTTGAGAAATAAACATTAATCTGTGTGAGCATTTTACTTTAGAACCAAGCAAGTTGGACTCATGAAACCATTTTATTATATCGGAGTCGCAAATCGCAATTGCAATATTGGCTCAATAATGGCAATATGACATTTTTCCCAAATCGTGCAGCCCTACTAAGCATAGATTATAGATATCATCCCTTCGCTATGTTCTTTTCAATGTGAAGCGTTGCGTGCTGTGACTTGGTATTGCTTCAAGTGCATCGTTCTGCACACGGGATGCGCATGATCGCTTATAATACTTTGGGGAGACAAGGGGGCGTGGCCTAAGGGAATATCACCCGTGGGCCACGCCCCATGGGCCTGCCCCCACAGCTTGAAAAAATCCTAGAGGAAACACTGAACTATTCATGACAATAAATTAATTTTAGACAGGTTAAATATATACCCAAAAACATAGTCTGTGTGTATATATGCACAATAAACTCATCTGTGTTCTGTATCGTGCGCACAGTGTGCCAGAATCGAGTTCTCTTTTATGCTTGAATGAATAAAAACGCACAATTATGCCAAAATTCCTGTTTTGTCAAGTGTCCTCATAAGAGCAGTTTTAAATTATTGAATAAAGTTAATTGAATGTAAAGAGCTGAGAAAAAATGAGACGTGTGTGAGATCCGCGTCATATGCTGCAGGGGCTAGGCCTGTCACAATAACAAATTTTGCTGGACGATAAATTGTCCAAGAAATTATTGTGATCAGACCATTTGAGTCTAAAATAATGATAATTGCATAATAATGCAGGTAAATCTTTTCAAAGATCTATAAACTTTTATTTCTAAAGACTATTTAACTCTGAAAATGGAAAACATTTTAAATTTCCCAAATGAAACAACCAAAAACAAATAAAAGCAATGTCTCTGTTAACACAAAATGCAGTTGAGTGAATACCAAAAACAATAAATAAAATGGATGTAAACAAAGCCTGACCCTACCCTAAATTATTTGCTATTAAAGCATAACATACAAACCACTGTTAATTTAACATGAAATCAAGCAGCTACTGTGCATGGTCTGGCATAACCCTTAAGGCGAGACACGGCAGGCAAAAACATCGTTTTTTTTTTTTTCACTGGTCAATTTTGGGAAAAAAAGTCCGAAATACACATTTAGGTCTTTATTTTACTACACTTTGTCTGTTTGCGTCTGTAGATTTCTCATAAATTCTTCAAAAGTTGTCGTTATAAATCATCCTGCTGCTCAGCGATTGCGATCTGCACCCTGTCATCACACACACGGTTAGAAAGCTCTCTTTCTCCTGTACAAGCTGTCGGATACAAATATGCTCATTTCCTTTTTATCAGCAACCAATCGTGAAAGTAAAAGGGGGGATTTAACTCTAAATGCGCGATCTCATTGGCTGATGCTAAATCTTTACAGCCAGTTTTCTCAAAATGACGTTTCTCTCATACTCCAAGTCCGAAATCTCCACCTATGTACACCAAACTTTCCAGTCTAGTACCTAGTTATATTATGAAGACATTTACAGAGGGATTTGTAAATATATTATTCCTAGCCTGATTTATATAAAATAATTTATTCCAAAAAACATGGCAAAAATGATTTTTTTTTTAAGGCAATTGGCAGTATATTCTGATTTACAGGATAACAAAAGTAGATATCCATAAATCTCTCTGTAATTTTTTTCTCATCTAATATGTGAACACAATGAAAAAATAATTTTGAACCTGGCTTTATCCAATACTCAGATTTCGTTTTTTAAAATACATGCAAATTAGTGCATATTTAATTAGATAATGCCTCATTTGCATATTAAAACATTAAATTACATAAAACTTGTAATATATATTTTTTTCTCATCTTAATGTAGGTAATCAACTGGGAAAGTTTCATGGTGATATCTGCTAGTTAAAAAATGTACCCTATTCACCTGTAGTGTCTCGCCATTTTGTTTTAGCTGTTCTTGTTGCTTTTCTGCAACAGATGAATAAAAATCTATTAGTTTTATATGTTCTATTCATAGATATTTATAGTTTGCGGGAGTCCCGCGAATTGTTGTATTCTCCTGCAACACGCACACACAGAGCGAGTGCATTAGCGCCTGCACTCGTCCATCAAATGTAGTGCTGCGCCGCACGGCAGTGCACGTCTCTAGATAAAGGGTCCGGCCCGAGGATAATAGGGTTGGAACGGTACATGTATTCGTATCGAACCGAAACGGTACGGGTGTCACGGTTCGGTGCACGAATTTACACGAAGAATACATGCTATATATACATGGTAAATAAATAAAACTCGCATGCATATTAATTAATGTAATGCGGGACTACTGTTAGATACGCGGGTTCTTTAGGGACACATAATCTGTACCATCGGCTAGCTCTGAACGCGCGTTCACTTCAAACGTTGGCGTTATACGCGCATCATCGCTTTGTGTCGAACTAGACGCGAATTTGGCGCTCAATTCGCATTTGGTGTGACCGCATAATGAACAGGCTGCGATGTCAAGATTGCAGTGCGTGCGAGAGAGAGGCGCGATAGAACAGTGGAAACAAAAACTGTTCTCATTTGTGTACACTCGCAATAAAACACAACATTGTACTTTTGTCACCCTGTAAACTCTTGACAAACTGTAACCTACAACTGTCACCCAACCAAAATCACACATACACACTGTTTTGAAAGCAAAACATATTTATCCAACTCCATTTCAAAACAGTCTGTGGGTCCCATTCGTCATATTGCATTGGTTTGAATTTCTTGTCCTCGGAGCACTAATCTTACACATTCTGCATTGATTAAAAAAGAAAATCGAATGTGTAATTATTTTATACAGAAAAAAATTAGTTATAATTCAAATGAGAATAATGTTACATTTTTAATTAATAATGTTAATAAAAATTAAGGAAAACAAATATATTGATCTGAAGTATAGCAAAATGATTTTAAATTAATTCAGGTACAATTACCAAACATATCACAAGGTCTTTTTGTCTTTTAATTCATTTAATTAATAAACTAATTATATAAAACTATTGTCAGTACACTACAAATAAACTGGTTCACATTTTTTCAGTGTGAGAGAGAGAGAGACGAGGAAAACAAACAGGCAAATGGAAATTATTGCGTCCGGAAAAATTATCAAGCTAATTTTTTTTATTGTGCGATTAAGTGATTTTTTCGAGTTACTCATTGAATCAATGCCATAGGTCTCTATTAAGCAGAGATGGGAGACTCGAGTCACTTGACTTGACTCGAGTCGCACATTTAAGGACTTGAGACTTGTTTGACTAAATTAAGAAAATGACTTGACTTGACTTTGACTTGAGATCCAATGACTCAAGACTTGACTTGAACTGTATGACTCGAGAATGACTATATATTGCAACATCAATTGATGAACAAAATGAAAGTAACAGAACCATTGACCATTGATATAGTTATGTATATGATATTACATTTTTGTTAACAGATCCTCCTAAATGTTAAACTCATGAGGCAAGAAAAACTTAAAAGCATATTCATATATCTTAAAGGTGCATTGTGTAATATTTATAATAATAATAATAATTCATTACATTTATATAGCGCTTTTCTCAGCACTTAAAGCGCTTTTACATAGAGAGTGGAATCTCCTCAACCACCACCAGTGTGCAGCATCCACCTGGATGATGCGACGGCTGCCATAGTGCGCCAGAACGCTCACCACACACCAGCTTACTGGTGGAGAGGAGACAGTGATGAAGCCAATTGGTATATATGGGGATGATTAGGAGGCCATGATGGACAGAGGCCACTGGGCAAATTTGGCCAGGATGCCGGGGTTACACCCCTACTCTTTCGAAAGACATCCTGAGATTTTTAATGACCACAGAGAGTCAGGACCTCGGTTTAACGTCTCATCCGAAGGACGTAGAATAGAATCCTACGTAGAATAGAATATTCAATAGAATACTATTGTGTAGTATTTAGTATTTAGGAGGATCTGTTGACAAAAATGCAATATGTACAAAACTACATTTTCAGTGGTGTATTACATTACCTTACATAATGAACTGATATGTTTGCATTACCTTCGAGCCATTTCTGTCTGCATACATTGCGGGACCCTTACATTGAAATTCCCATTTTGCGCCACCATGTTTCTACGTGAGCCCTAAACAGAAAAAAACGCGTTTCGTCACTGTTGATCTTAGTGCAAAGAAGCTAGCCAAAGTCAACGAGAGACACTGGCACAATGATGAACAAGTAACAATAATATTAACAATAATTTGACAAAGCTATGTGATTAACTTAAATAAGCACAGTAATGCTTATATTGTATTTCTTCTTGTCTTGATTTCCTCCCAGCGGCCGCTTTCGGCTACAGCATCTCTGGTGTGGCTGCCGTATACATCTATTGACCAGCTCTTGAGAAACCTCAGTGAAAGTCAGATCAATGAAAAGGTGAAACATTGTTCATTTATTATAATGTCTGAGATGTTGATTTCTTGTTTAGAAACTGCTGACTTGTCTATTTAGATGGGTTAGTAGGTAGTAGGGGTGGCACGGCTCACGAAACCGACGGTTCGGTTTGTATCACGGTTTTAGTGTCACGGTTTTCGGTTCTGTACGGTTCTTGTTATTTTTTTCTTTTAATCTTTAACACTTCAGAAATGTACTTCATCATGTGATATATAGCTTAATTATCCACACTTTAGGATACAGTATAAAAAAAATGATATTCATGCAATCATGCACAAACTGAATTTGACTCTTTGACTTTAAGCACATTTTGGGACTATCTCAGAGGAAAGCTAGGTGAGATTTTGACACAGCAAGAGAGAAGACATTGACATGCTTTTCCTTTATTTGGCAAAAAAAAGGAGAATGTGTATCACTATCTCTACAAGAACTTGTGCATTTTTATCATACAAATCTTATTTACACAAAGAAATTAACTTGCATTTATGAACTGACAACTTTTGTAGCTCTTACAAAAATACTATCTTTTAAAAGAAAAAAAGAGGAACTCTTAAAACACTGTCTTTTATGAATAAGTCAATATACATGAAACCTCATTGCCTATAATTAGGCTATAGAAATAGCAAAGGCCATAAACATAAAGTGAAAAGTTCAACCTCAACACAAAAAACAGTATCAACAATGCTTCTATTCCCAAAAAGTGAGGGTACCTTTTTTTCAGTTTAAATTAAAGTGCAGGATTTGGAAACATTTGACTGAAGCTCTTATCTAAACATACAGTGCCACTGTAACGTTATATTAAAATACCATAACATGAAATCAAAAATGTTCCCACACACCGGACTTATAGACTTATAGGACGCTGGTGCATCCTCCAACTCCCTCATCTCTCCCACTTGCCATTTCTCCGTGTGCCGTGACCTGCAGCGCTCCATACTCCACTTTTACTGGCTTGTTTACTAACTTGAACCGGCGCTGCACAGAGCGATCGGTAATGACATCAAATACCGCGAAAGTGAGTGACGGAGCCGTCGTTCCCGCTCTAGTGTGATGTTATTCACCGGTCGCTCTGTGCAGCGCCGGTCCAAGTCGAACAAGCTTATGTCGCGCGAAAAGAAAACACACGTCACATACGGGCACGAGGTTACATTGCGCATGCGTCGAACCGTGAGACGCACAGACGCTCCGAACCGAGACAAGCGAACCGAACGGTTCGGGTGTTTTTTCATGTACCGTGCCACCCCTAGTAGGTAGGGGTGGTTAAATTGTCTGATTTCCCGATTCGATTACGATTATTGAAGTCCCGATTCGATTACAGTCGATTTTCGATTATTAACGTTTCTCGATTACCGATTATTGATTTTCCATTTCACAACAGTAAACTAAAATACACTAGACCAACATATGATTATATTAGCAGCAGCAACATTTTGGTATTAATTGCACTTTTTATTTGTTTGATATTCATTGAAAATATAACGATAGTTAGTGAGGACATGCAAACATGCTTGTTGTCTACTATTAGGCAACTCATTATCTTTAAATTTATTAACTTTAAAAAAATTTTCAAAAGCAATTTTGTTGCATTATAATGCAAATGCACCTGGTTCTATTAATTGACAGCATTAAAATGTATTTTGTGATTTCCTTCAATTGAAAATGTTTGAAGCAAGTTTGGGGGACTTGAAGGGCACCCGATTCAGAGAATCACCTAGAAATTCAAAAGAACAGCATTTATCTGAAATAGAAAGCTTTTGTAACATTAAACAATACCGTTCAAATGTTTGGAGTCGGTAAGAATTTTTATTTAATTTTTTGGGCAAAAGAAAAAAGAAAATCTATACTTTTATTCATCAAGGATAAATTAAGTTGATCAAAAGTTAAAGTACAAGACATTTATAATGTTACAAATCAATTATCTGAATCTTTTGTGTGTGACTATAAATAATTTGCTTTAAAAGTACAAAGTAATGACCCATAAAGAATTAATGCACAATATATTTTATTAACATTACAAAGAACGACCAGGAAAATAAATGTGTGCTTGAACTAGGAGCATACTTGTAGTAAATAAATAATATAACGACTGGTGCAGCCGAGTGTTTTTCCTCCTCTGGCTGGAAAGATGTCATATGGCTTATCATATTTGTCGTGTTTCCGTCGTTGGTTTTATTCCACAAAGCGTACAACTAGTGCGGCTCTTGTCCAGCTCCTTTCCCCCTTCAAATTCAGAAGCCAAAATATTTCCACACGTCAGCTTTTAACCTAACAAGGAAGGTGTTTGGATCTCGCGTGCCATCTCATCTCTGTTAAGCCTAGTTCACACTACGTGATTTTAAGCCCGATTTAAGCCCGATTTGCAAATCGTTGAGTCGCCGTCAAGTCAGGGTGTTATCGCGTGCAAATCGCGGGCGATTAGCGGACGATTAACGCTCGCCAATCCGTTAGTGTGAAAGAGCCAACAACGCATCAAAGACAGCTCGCAGACACCTCGCAGACAGGTCACCGAGCTCAGAAAAATATCTAGCATGCTAGATATCTCGAGCTGTCGCGCGATTCAATCTCAGTGATGTCATGAGTACAGCCAATCATAGCAACGCATGGGTTGAGGACACCAGGTAAATCTTACTTTTTCTTTTTTTGCATTTTTTTCTCAGAGCAGATCGTCGAGCAAACAGTGTGCAGCACTAGTTTCTGTCTGACGTCCATATTCGCGTGTTGTGTTCTTCTCGGCAGTTTCGCGTCATTTCTGGTTCGTTTTATTGCGTGGTTTTTCGTTACAAAACATGGTTTCTAGACCAGATAGAATCGTGTTGTTGTCAACTCGTTATTTGTTTGATTATTTTCATGAATTAGACCGTACTATAGTACTGAAACAGCTCTCATTGAGTCACAAATGATATGCTCTTATCATCCGATCGTGATTGTATCTCTATGTAGTGCGTTGTTAACTCGTGTAGTGAGTTACCTCCTGTTGTGGATCAATCATGTTGTGTTGTGTGGTGTGAACAGCTAAACAACTTGAACACTCATGATTTCACTGAGAGCAAGTCATGTAGTGTGAACTGCACAGTTCAGCCCGACATTTTAAAATCATGTAGTGTGAACTAGGCATTATGTGCACGCCACAGACGGTCCGGCCACTGCACTTCCGCGCTTCAGAGTTCCGTCTTTCGCGTTCCGTCAGTATTACGTTATTATAAATACATATAAAAAAAATTTTTTTGAAATCGATTTTTTGACATTTGTGAATCGATTCAGGATCGTCCACGTCCGCATCGCGATGCATCGAGAATCGATTTTTTCCCCCACCCCTATTTGTAGGTGATTCAGAAATGATGGAATAAAAAATACAAAACACAGCCTGTAGCCAGTGAGGAATTGACAATAGCTACTATACTAGGGCCAATGACGGGGAGTGCTTTTGAGAATAATGAGGATGGTATTATATCATGTGGACAAGAGGATATATTTATTTTATTAATCAAGTTTAGCAAATCAAGGAGGCTGATTGGTTTAAAAGACTCAATGATAATAGGCCTAGGTGAATGAATACAGTCCACAGGATAGTGTGGTCCACGCAGAATATTTGATCTAATAGACTGCACCTTATCAATAAAAAAAAGACAGCAGCCTATCACAGTCATTTTGGGAGTATATTGTTGTCACAGTGGCTGGAGGAGATACAAATACAATGTTATGTATGGTATCAAATAAAACCTTAGGGTTTCGCTTAGAGGATGATATAAAATGAGAGAAATAAGCAGTCCTAGATTTCGCAACTAGATTGTTAAAATCATGCATAAGTTCCTTAAGATACAGACGGTGCACTTCAAGCCCAGTGGATTTCCACAGACGTTCAGTCGTACGGCACCTCCTCCTTAGACAACGCACATCGTCTGTCATCCAAGGCGCGGTGTTACATATAGGCTTAGTTTTTATCTTTAAAGGAGCCACTTCGTCCAATACAGAAGAGCAGGCATTGTTAAAAGATTGCATTAATAACTCAACATCATTGCTACAACCCATCAAATTAAGAACAATCACAATCAAACAGAGAGATAAATTGCTCAGCAGTTGTTTGAGTAATAATTTATAATATAATAATAATAATAATAACAACAATAATATAATAATTTAAATAATTTATTGATCTGTGTTGTACTTAGGGTTGTGCCGATAGACGATAGTATCGTGTATCGACGATAGTCTGACATATCGCCGATGGCAGATGCCTTTGACGATATCAATACGATAATTGGCTCGTTTTACCATAATGTATTAAATTATTATTATTAGGCCTATTATTATTATTATAAAGCTAGTATTGTTATTAAATGAATATTAGGAACTACAATTAATTTGCCTAAATTTACAACGACATCACCTCATAACAATTGCAACAACACACGCACTAATGAGGACTCCTCTAAGAGAATGTTTTTAAAACAGACTAAAAAACATCCCACATCAAAATTCAATCGCAAGGTGATCCATTCACAAATTATCAAGTGTGCTCGTTTTAACAGACGCAAAATTAAATTTCCTACAGATCCAAGATGAAAACGGCATCGTTGTTCGTCAGTATTTGTTTCTGTAACACATTAACAAAACGTTTAATGACACTAACACTAAAAACAATACAATTACTAAATAGTATTAATAATAATATCACTAAAATAGTATTATAGTTACCGTTATCATCGTCGTCTCTGAGGGAACGCGGCGTTAATGCAGATGCCGAAAGCAGTCCGTTTTTACTTTCACTTTCAGAGATAGAGCGCGTTTACATGCGACGACGTTCTTAACCTGATTATGTTGAATAAACTTGACAATGCATGTGGTCATGTAAACGTTTCCTTTATCAGAGTCAAGTCATAAGTATAAGTATAAACCGATCGACTAAGCTAGACGTTTGGCCCTTGCTCTTGTTTCTATCGGCATTTAAAACACATTAACCCGCGTACTTCGTGCTTACTGAA